GTCAGAAACTATCTTTATTATATACTTGAAAATCACTAATAAAATTAGTACAAATTTTAAGGTTTTTTTAACCCAAAGATTGATAAGTATGTCAAGTAATGCATATAAAAAGTAACTCAATTTAGCTACTCCTTAGTGCATGCAAATATTTTAAACATCACGCTGTATACAATAAGTATATAGAATTTTTTTGTTAATGAAATGAACTAGGACTGGGACTGTGGCTCAGCAGTAGAGCTCTCGCCTAGCACGGGCGGGACCCGGGTTTGATACTCTGCACCACATAAAAATACAGGCATTTTGTTGTGTCCATCTACAAGAAAGATTCGATTCTCTCTCTCTCTCTCTCTCTCTCTCTCTCTCTCTTTCTCCCTCCTTCTCTCCCTCCTTTCTTAAAAAAAAAGAAATGAACTAGCAAAAAGTACAAAAATTTTACCTCATTTTATTCATTTGTCCATATAAATTATTTTTCTCAAATATTTTTCCTGATCACTATAGAAAACAGTCCTCAACTTTATTCTGAATTGTAATCCACCCCTAAATTTATGTGTCCAATACCAAACTATTTATGTGTATTTCAAGACCCAGCATTTCAAGAGTTCTTAAGCATAAATGAAGTCATAAGGGTGGGGCCCTAAACTGAAGATCTGGTCACCTTATATGAAGATGAAGAGATGGCAGAGCTCTCCCAGTTCACATGAGCACAAAGGAAGACCATGTGGACAGAGTGAGAAAGTGGCCATCTGGAAGGGAAGAAGAAAAGTCTTACCAGGAAAAAAAAATCACAAGTTTGGTCTTAGACTTCTTCCCTCCAGAAATGTGAGAACATTGGTTTCTGTTGTTTAAGTCACCCCAGCCTTTAGTATTTTGTTGTTGTTGTAGTTTATCATAGTCTTATTAATGCCACATCCAAATTGGATCTCAAATGAATTCTAAATATGATCATTTAGATGTTAGGGAACACTTACTTAATTCAGTTTCTCTCAATTGGGTTCCCCGATGCATTTTCTTTCTTCATTATTGTATAATACAACTCTATGTTCAATTTTTCTGTTGCTCTTAGTTTTATATGTATGTGTTAGGGTTGGCTTTAACTCTTACTAAAAATACACTATTAAATTTGTAATGATTAGGGCAGTGTAAAGTGAACTTGAAGTGATTTGATACTCTGCCTCAAACATTTTGCACACTATCTGCAACCATTTATAAAGTAATGATTTCTCTGTGAACTACATTCTCTCTGCACTGCAGTTAGAATGTTATATTATTGTACTTGAATTTGAGGCATAGGAAATAAATTCCAGGCTGTTGTCAACATGGAAGACCCCTCCATTTTCAGTGCAAATCATTGATTAGTATATTATTTCCCTATTGCACACTAAATGCCTTCACCTCAAATCCACAATATTTTTCTACTTCCTGGGCATTTAGTATTTAATAGTGTTAAGAACAACTGGTGTTCGAGTTTAGCACTGAAGAAGGTAGTTTTGCTTAGAAGCATAAATATTCCTTAAATTTAACTGAGAATTATTTTTTAAAATTTTTTTATAGTTTTAGATGAACAGAATGCCTTTATTTTATTTTATTTTTGGGGGGCGCTAATGATCGAACTCAGTGCCTCACACACTCTAGGCAAGCACTCTGCCACTGAGCTACAGTCCTAGCCCTCTAACTGAGAATTCTAAACAACATGAAACATGAAACAACATGAAAGTTTCGGTTTTTGTGTTAGTATAAAGAAAGGCATGGGAGAGTTGACATAGCAAGCCAGGACTCACCTATTCTGAAATTGAATATACAGCTCTTTTTAATAATTTGAAGTAGAGAAACATGTATTCTTGCTATCATGTGACTAATAGGATTGAATGGAAAATCTCTGCTACTTCTATGTATTAATGAAGTACTCTCACTCTTTTAAGTGACAAACTTTATAAATGATTCACACAAGATTTTAATATTAGATTTCAAGAAAAAAATTTCTTCAACATGTTTACTGGAAGTTCATATTAACATTAAAAACAGACACGTAAAAGGGAAGACAAAATTATATTTGTATTCCTCTTTGATATTGCATGTGGTATAGGTTTGGCAAACTTTTATTAAATTTATTACTACATATATCTATTTTGTTAAATATTTTTATTTGCTACTTATTGAAAAAATGTTTTAAGTTCAAATTTACATATACAGTAGAACAATTCACACCTTTCAAACTGCAATTTCATATTTAGAATTGGGGTAATATTTAAAATTGATAGGCTTTTCTATAAAACACATGTATGGTAAAGAAATATAGGTAATTAATCTGAGGGTAAAAATCACTGTTGAGGAGAGGAAAATTTATTCTTGATAAAATGTTCATATCTATAGCATTGAACAAAAGTTTTGATGACTCCCTAAGACAGGAATATAGTGATTCACAGAAGCGAACACTAATCAATAATGAAATTTCTTGTGTGTGTGTGTGTGTGTGTGTGTGTGTGTGTGTGTGTAATCATGGTTTCATTATGATTAGTGGTATGATTAATGCAACTATTGATGGAATGGAAATGTTGGTGCTGGTGATAGAAAATACTACTCATCACTCTTAACTACTTAGCAGTATTTTCCTCCTTTCCTTCTAGAAGTTTCTTGCCCTGGGAAAGGCTGCTATAACATGTTTTTCATTTGTTGATAGAATATAACAAAGCATATTAAGCAAAAGCATTTGATATTGAATATCTACAAAAAGTTGTCATTTACTTTATAATTTTTATTTATTTGTTTATTATTGATTTATTGTTTTGTGGTACAATACCCTCAGCTCTTCTATTTTGTATTTTGAGACACAGTCTTGCTAAGAGGCAAAGATTGGTCTTGAACTTGGAATCCTCCTGCCTTAGCTTCTTACTGAGCTAGGATTTGAAGTACACTCCACTGAGCCCAGGGAAAGTTAGCATTTCTTACTCTAATCTCTAATACTTTACTTTTTAAAAAAGTAAAGATAAAGACTGGATTCATTCCTTTACACTTTATAAGACTTAGTTTATTCAAATTTCAAATTGGTACCAACTTGAGAGAAAAGGCTAAATAAATAACTGAATGGAAAGGGCCAACTGTGCTTTCCCCAAACACAGCAACTACTCTGAATGCCTCCAAGGGATAGAGTGCACCCTAATACTTAGGATACACACATACACACACACACACAAAATATATATATACACATCCCTGCTTAGCATATACATATGTGTGTGTGTGCATGCTTAGCAGAGATTTCTAATTAAAAGCAAAATATAATTTTTTAAAAGTTATGTATGATATCTTTGAATTTTGTTTTTACTCATTTAAGAATAACAATGTCGAAGAAGACATTGGGAAGCGGTACTTAAAAAGTTCTTGAAGACTGATTTATGAATGTTCTTAAGTAGATAAGAGAAAAATACAGAAAAAATTCTCTCCAACTCCAACTTCCCTTTAGTACTTAAATAATATTCTCAATTTCAAAAAAAAAAAAAAAGGAGTAAAGCTACAGATAATTTGGACTGTCTTCAGTGTTTTTCAATGCCAATGAACCCTCAGTTTAATTTAGTCTTGAGACCAAGAGGTGTTCTGTAGCTATTTGACACTGCAATTAAATATGGTTTTTCAATTTTTCAAGTATTCTTTTCTAATTAAAGGCTTCCTAATGCGTGTATGCAGTTGCTGATTTGTAACTTGAAATTGCAAATCACTTAACCTCTAAAGTTCAGTAAGCCTCTAAACCTTTTAGCTTAGCTATTGATATTCTAATCATGAAATTAAAGCATCCACAGTAAGCAGATGAGCTAATGTAAGTGGTGTCCATGTTTTCTTTAGTGTAGAAATCAATAATACTATCTTGACAACTTTCAGTTCAGTGATCTATCTACTGGAAATGGACTTGCTTTTAAAATAGATGTCTAAAATATGTGTTATTTGAAGTAACAGCTCTATGATTCCACATTGTTAAATTTATTTTAACTGCTATGTGAAAATATAGCAATTATATATATTAATGATATATTGTGTTATCCTTTGACACATGTACAAATTGTGAAATGTTTAAATCAAATTAATGAATCTCCTTAAATATTTATCATTTATTTATGATGAAAAACTTAAAAAATACTTTTTTCTTGCTTTTAGATGATACGTTATTGTTATCTATAGTCCCCTAGATGCAGTACCACACCAGAGCATCTTGCTCCTCCTCTTGTTACTCAGAATATTCATCAACATTTCCCCTATTCTCCACCACTCTGACTTCCCCAGCCTTTGTGAACCACCATATCACTCTCCATCTTTATAATATCAAATGTTTGGATTCCATACATAGGTGAGATCATGCAATACTTGTCTTTCTGTGCCTGGCTTATTTCATTTAACATACTGATCTGATCTATAGTTCCATCCATGTTGCCACAAGGGACAAGGTTTAGTTTCTAGGGCAGATTATTATCCTCTTTGTAACATTATTTTTTTTAATCTCCTCATCATTTGAGCAACACTTCCGTTGTTTCCATTTCTTGGCTATTGTGAATAGTGCCACAATGAGCAGAGGAATGCAGATGGCCTTCCACATTCTTATTTCATTTTCCTTAGATATATTTCTCTTGGAACCACTGATTCAAAAAGTAGTTTTGTTATAAAGTTTTTGAGGAACTTTCACACTAATTTCACAAATGGATGTACTAATATGCATTCTATCCAGCATTGAGCAAGAGTTCTGTTTTTTTCCCCATCTTCACCAGCTCTTGTTAGCCTCTAAGTCTTCTTGACACTAGCCATTTGTAATAGGGTGATGTGATATATCTCACTGTGGTTCTGATGTGTCATTGTATGATGTTTTGATGGTAACAGTTAAATTTTCTTCAGTGGCATAATATCTCAAGACATGAGAAATGCCAAATTCCAAAGGAAAATAGAGTGCAGCAAATTATAGAAATGGCTTTCAACTCTGTACAGGAAGAAAGCTAGAATCACACTGTCTTATTTTCCAGGTGCATATGTGCTCCAGGTCAAGGCCACGGATGCAGATGACCCAACCTATGGAAACAGTGCCAGAGTTGTTTACAGCATTCTTCAGGGACAACCTTATTTCTCTATTGATCCCAAGACAGGTAAATTTTTTATTAGAGAAAACATAATCACCACTCCTTCAAATATTTAAACTTTAATTAATTCTTGGCATGGAAATCACCTATTCTAATACAGCAAAAAAGATTCTGTGAGCTTCATACTGAGCAAAGAAAATAGCATCTCACCTATCTGCTATAGATAGTGACTTGTGTAAATCTAAACATTTTCACATATACTTACAACTTCTCTGATTGTCTTATTTTAAATTTTCAAAAGTCTGTTTTTTAATTCATCTGGCTAAATAATTTTTCATTCCAGGTTTCTTGGCTGAATTAAATTATATTCCATTTTTAGGCTTATCATTGCATGGAGAAATCCTAGATCATCTTTGCTGTCTGTCTAAGTGTCATAAGTGGCTGGCTAAAGCCAAGAGAGACACATTTGTAATAAAGCAAAGGAGAGCATGACAGACATGAAGACCATTGATTCTGTAGTCTGTGTCTTCAAAGCCATCATACTTCTAAAAAAAAAAAAAAGAAAACTAACCTAAATTGCAGATTTAAAGACCAAATATAATATGGATAATGTAGAAAGGGCAGGAACATATACACATGAAAGATCTTATATCCCTCCCCATTTTTTTTGTGGTGCAGGGGATTAAACCCAAGATCTCATGCATGCTAGGCAAGTAATCTACCACTGAAGAAACCCTCAGTCCCTATTTTCCCTTATATATGACGGGAGATCTCTCTTCTTCTAAGCAGTCTGTTTTTGAACTCTAAATACATTGTTATGGAGATTCATCCACTCTAACCAGTGAATGAAGAAGGTATTCTATGTCACATCATAGTTAAAGCAGAAACTCCAGGTGATAGCCATTCTATCCCCTCTTATATAGTGCAATTAAATATGTTGCAAAATAAATTGGGCACCATTAATTATGTTAGCTGAAGATAATGGGAATTGTCAACATATACTAAAATAAACTATCTTTAAAATTTGCAGATCAATTACTGTTGATGAAAAATATTATATTTATAAATTTTAAGACACATTATGTCTATGTATATATATTTGTATATAATTATTGATATAATCCAAATATATTTCCTAAGAGAGGTATGTTCTAAAATCTGGTATGCCAATGAGATATTTTATTAATAAATTAGCCATCTACTAATGTTGCCTAGAAACAAAGCATATTGTTTTTCTACTAAATTGGAAACACATGCAGGACCTACAGAACTTCCTGTCAATGCCCACTTCTTTCCCTTGTGATGAGGTCAATGGGGAAACAGAAGTTTTGAAGTTGAGAGTAAGATAGTGAATTTCTTCTTTGCCTAGCTCCAAAAAAAAGAGTTGAGTAAAGAGAACACAACTTTCCTTTAAGAATTTTTTTGAGAAGTGTTATAGTTTGGATATGAGGTATTGCTACAAAACTCCTCTGTTAATGCAGCAATGTTCAGAGGTACAGTAATTGGATTGGGAGATCTGAAACCTACTAAGTTCATCTTAGTTTAAAAGGACTAGATGGTATCTGTAAGCTGGTTGGGCATGGCTGGAGGAGACAAATGACTAGGAATGTGCCCTGCAAGGGTACATCTTCCTTTCCCCACCTCCTGCCTCCTTAGTGCAAGGAGAAGAGCAGGATTCTTTTACCATACCCTTCCCCCATGATATGCTGCCTCACCTTGGGCCCATAGCTAGGAATTGGCCATCTATGGGCTGAGACCTCTGAAACTGTGAACCTCAAATAAATTTTCCTTTCTTTAAGGTGTTCTTGTTGAGTATTTGGGGGACAGAGATAAAAGGCTAACTAAAACAAGAAGCAATTATAAGGGGAAGAGAATCCAGAAGGTGAAAACCTCCTCTGGTTTAGACAGAGTATTGTAGATTAAAAGTCAGACCATGAAATGCTCCCAGTGAGTGTGTGATGGGGAAGTAACTTTTAGAAGGTATTTTACAGTAAATATGGCAGTGAATATAGGAAGATATATGTCAATATCATTATTAAACAAGATTTTTGATTACCGTTAACTATGGGAAATTATTTGTTTTAGAAGAACAGGGAAAATTGAAGAAGAAAAAAGTTGAGGATGTTGTTCAATGAAGTTTATGTTGACACAAAGTTTCCAAGATATTACAGAGTTTTGGAAAATGGGCAGAATATATAAAGGATTGATGAAGGGACATCATCTAAAATGTATCCTTTCATTAGATTGGGTCATTAGTTTTTCTTCATATATACATATATATGTGATTTTCTTAGTTGTAGGTGGACAAAATACCTATATTTAATTATTTTTTTAATATGGTGATAAGGCTCAAATCCAGTGCCTCACATGTACTAGGTGAGTACTCTACCACTGAGCTACAACCCCAGCCCCTGGGCTATTTTTTTCTTAAAGAGTTTTAAATCGTATCCAAATTTACTTTTATGGATAATCTGATAAGAAATGAAAATATGAATTACTTCAGTCTCTGAGGAGCACTCCTGAGAGACAAAAGAAAGAAAAAACAGTATATAGCAACTTGTGAAGAAAGAGGGTCAGTATTAGAATACTTTCATGGTTTTGCAATTATGTACTCTATAGACTGCATGTGTTTATATACTAAGCAGGGTGGCCAATGGAAGATGAATGACTTCATGCTGTTAAGAAAAAATGTAGGTGATGTGGATATAATTAAAACCTAACTGAAAATAAGAAAAAAAGATATACAGAGATACACTAAATACTTGTGTTAAGAATATACTGGCTATAGTCAAATTAATACCATACAGATATCAAGTATGTGAGTCAAGACAAATGCTCTCCTTTTGAGTCTACTTGGGCAGTATTAAATTTAAATAAATTCTAATTCATTTCAAAAGTATAACACTACACCATAATATATGAATACACATTATGACTTTATAATTTCATGTTTATATTTTTGTATAATGCTTATTATTTAGAACTAAATGTGAAACAATTCTGGCATAAAGTACATAATAGATTTTTGAAGCATTGATTTTCACTGGAGACAGAAGTCTTCGTAGTAGCCATGCCTCAGACCACTAGACAGGAAAAGAGTGGATGATGAGACACTTCATTAAGAGAATAAAAACTAGTTCTTCATGCACAAAAACCATTAAGAAGACTTTTTGTCAAATTTATCACCTTGTGGTAGATAAGAATAAATCAAAAATCAAGGATAATTGCAATTTCTCAGAAATACTCTCCATTTGTTCCAGCCATATAGCTTCTTTTTATGATTCCTCTTGCTGTTATTAAATAAAATGCATGAAAAGCCAATATTATCTAAAATTTTCCACATTTGAGTGTAGAGAACAGTTTAAAACAATTCTTAAAGGAAGAGTCTCATCAAAACTTCTGGTGAATAAATACTTAGGAAGAGATAAATATTTCTATATTTTATTTATTAGATATGAGAAAATAAAATAGATATTTGTACTGATATTTCACTTTAATAAGCCTTCCTAACATTTCTGAGTAGATATGGCAAGATTTTTTTCTACATATAAATACATGGCATTAATATAAATTAGTTCGTTGAATGAAATAAATCAAGAAAGGGTATTTTTTTAAAGTTATTTATTTGATATTTTTTTGTCTTAACCAAGAAATACTTTGCTATAGGTATGTTCATATATATGCCTTAAGTTACAAATAAATAATATTCATAAAAATCCAAATGTACCTCATTGTTATACAAAATTACATATAAGAGGTTGTGAGGGGAATGGGAAAATAAACAAGGAGAGAAATGAATTACAGTAGATGGGGTAGAGAGAGAAGATGGGAGGGGAGGGGAGGGAGGATAGTAGAGGATAGGAAAGGTAGCAGAATACAACTGTTACTAATATGGCATTATGTAAAAATGTGGATGTGTAACCGATGTGATTCTGCAATCTGTATTTGGGTTAAAAATGGGAGTTCATAACCCACTTGAATCTAATGTATGAAATATGATATATCAAGAGCTTTGTAATGTTTTGAACAACCAATAAAAAAAGAAAAAATTTCCAAATGTAAGTGCATCTATAAAACATGCATTATTTTATTATATTTAATGTTTATAAGACATTGAATTATTTATTATATCATATAATGATATATTATTATATCATAAGCTTGTATCAGCTTATTATATAAATTATAATGCTTAATTATACTTAATGTTTAAAGAACAATGAAAAGCCTTTATAAGTTATAAAATATTTTTTAAAAAGCAAAGTAATATAATATTTTATCTAGTGCAAGGCATCAGAATACTGCTGAACATAGTAACCTTAATAATAGAGATATTCAATTTAGAACAAAAAATATTACTCTTAATAACTGAATCTAATGCATTAATTAACGTTTAACATTTTTTAATGCATTTAGTTTTTTTCCAAATGATTCCAAATAACTAGTCTGCATTAATTAACTAGTGATTTCCACATTGTATATCTACATTGTGTATCATATGGTGATGACATTTTGTACTTTTCTAAAATATCTGAGCCCTACTTGAGGAAGCTTATTGATATCAATTTCAGTATATTTGTTATTCCATAAACTTTAATTTTGTCTGTATACAGGATATAAAAAAATCAACATTTTAACTTTTTAAATGCAAATTTTAACAGTATTATGTCCATTTGCATTGTTATGCAACCAACAATGGACAGATATATTGTATAAATAACAAGGTATAGATATAGATATAAAACTAGTATTCTATATCCAGAAATTTTTGGCCAACTTATTTACATTAAATTTGAAACATGTGTCCTTTCTAAATTTTTTTAGAATTTGTGTATGTATACATCATTTATATAATTTGTACCAAACAGTTAAGGGAAAATGCAGTTGCATGAGCTACTTTCTTGGTTTTTTTGTCTGTTCTGATATTCCAGGCTGTGTGAACCTCCTTAGTTCATTGACCTTACCAAGATTTTTGCTCTTGAGTCTATCATCGTTAATTCAGATAAAATAATCTTCAAGTCTATATCCTATGTGTTCTTATGTTTTGACTAAAATTTATTTATTTT